TTTTGTTAAGTTATTCTTGCTTAAAGTTATAAAAAAATTTTATTATAAAAAATTTGCTTGATTTCTATTGACTCACCTCCAAATACTAGGTAGTAATAATATGCTTAAATTTCTTTATCTGTAGAGTTTGTATAATAATTTTGTCTCAAAAATAGTACGATATACTATATAACATAATTGAATAATTATATATACAGTATTTAGTATCTAATTAAATATTTAAAGATCTTGCTATCTAATAAAATATATCTAAAAAGTATTTAGATACTGAGTTAAGTCACTTAATCTTTATTTAATCAAATAATTAGGTATCTAGTCAAATTTATGATTTTGACATATTGGCAAAAATAATACAATAGCAGATAGTATGCTAAATATATTTCGACACAATGTCTAAATATCTGACTAAATAGCATATTTCGACTAAAAAGCGAGACGGTTATCGAGATGTTTTTGTTCAAACTATAAAAAATAATTTTATTTAAATTAAGACAATCAAAAATCGAGAATCTGCTGTCGCAATTTTAGTGTTGGCAGCTAAGATCAATATTAAGAACTTGCCAGGATTAAGACAATCTTTAACATCGAAATGCATTTACCAGTATAATGTAGATCTATTGAAAAAACTTTTGCAAATCACAGGAAATATAGAACCCGATTGGAAAATGTTCTGTGAGGTCTTCATTCGTACAACATTGTCCAAGGTCTTTGTACATGCAATACTTACCAGAAGGCATTCTTTCGCGAGGCATCTCGCAACATCGTTCGTGAAGCCTTTTCATCCAATGTCACTAGCGAGACCTTCGTTTATTTTGAGATCTGTAACTCGTCAAAGCAATATACTGTAATTGATTTACTGACCTACATTATTACGACTGAAAAAAGGCGCCTGTTTTGTGGGACTTTAAGTAACACCAAGGTTAAACACTTTAATCAGATGTTGCACTAATTTAAATCGCGTGTAAATTATTAGATTTCCAAATTGAGCTAAATTGTAAATTACATTATCACAACATACCATAAATGATGATTAGAAAACATAAATACGTTCCTACACTCTCTTTACGTAATACCAACGCCCTTCACCTTTAGACATAATCCTTATACATTAACAAATGTGAATGCTGAAATATTGCTATTCATTCTTTCAGATATAATGTTGTCCAATTTAGCTTTTGTAATTATATTTTTAATATATACTACTCATCTTGTATATTCACAAACAACGGTATCATCAACTCAGACCTCCAATCCTACTAATACACCTCCTATTCAAGCTTTCACCTCAAATACCATATCAAGTACCGTCTCAGGTGCCATACCGACACCATTATCTTCTATATCTACAGATAGTAGTAATAATAGTAATAAAGTGATTGCTGTTTATTATGCTTATTGGAAGCGTTCCTTTTTAGCCGAAAATAATTTACCGTGGGCTAAAATAACTCATGTGAATTTTGGTAATATCTAAAATTATTTCCGTAATACTGTAATATATAGAATGGGATATCATGTCTGAAATCATATGAATTTTTTATAGCATTCGCGATCGTCGATAATCAATTCAATCCAGTTTTAGATGCACAAACAGAGATTGTATTGACCTCATTAGCT